ACACTAGCTTCTGATCTAAGTGAAACCAGAGATGGAAAATGATGTGATAACTCTTAACAATGTACAGAACAGGTGGGGGAGGCCAATGTAAACACTGGGAGATGTGGTCAAAGATTATGACCATAATCAGATTAAAAATGATAAAAATGGGCAGAAACAAAAAATGTGTACCAAAGAACACACATACTGAACACTTCAACACTTTTTTACTAAAGGAATTACCAGGGTTTGGCAGATACACTCCAGACGAAAAAAGGGGAAGAAATAAGAATACGAAAGATGAAAACAAAACTCCACTCCTGTGTAGTTTATAGGTTACATTACTCTATGTGTACAACCCTCAAAGATTGTTTACACAGGAGTCGAATTGACTGCTTCTGTGGAAACAGACCACACAGAAGCTCAACATCATCAGTCAGCTCAACATCATCAGTCAGAGAAAAGGCCAGGAGCACCAACTGCTCAGACAGATCTTAAAACTGAAGATGAAGAAAATTAAAACAAGTCCACAAGAGCTAAAATACGAACGGGACTATATCCCAAAGGAATTTAGAGACCATCTCAAGAACAGATCTGACATACTGACCACCGATGACCAAGGACCAGATGAGTTGCAGGGGGAAAAAAAGGGTATCAAGTATAAAGAAAGCAAAGGGTCATTACAAAAGCAGGAAAGAAAGAAAGAAAAGACCAACACAGATGTCACAAGAGACTCTGAAACTTGCATCTGAGTGGAGAGTAGTTCAAGGGAATGGAAGAAATGATGATGGAAGAGAGCTGAACAGAAGATTTCAAAGGGCAGCTTAAGAGAACAAAGTAAAGTACTATGATGAAACGTGCAAAGATCTGCTGGACAGTGAGAGAGCCAAAGGGAGTAACGTGATCAGCATTTCTCAAGCTGAAAGAATGCAACAAAACATTCAAGCCTTGAGTTGTAATATTCCACAGGCAAAATACTGAATGATGCAGGGAGCAAAAGGGAAGATAGAAGAAATACACACTTTACCAACAAGCATTGGTCAATGTTCCACCACTTCAGGAGACACCACATAACCCAAAACTAATAGCACTGAAGGAAGAAGTCCAAGGCGCACTGAAAGCACTGCTGAAAAACAAGGTTCCAACAATTGATGGCATACATATAGAGCTGTTTCCAGCAAACAAATCCCTGGAAGTGTTCCCTCTGCTCTGCAAAGCAATTGGGAAGACAGCTACTTCGCCAATCAACTGGAAGAGATCCCGATTTGTCTTCATTGCAAAGAAAGGTGATGTCAAGGAATACAGAAATTATCAATTATCACTAATATCACACAAGTAAAATCTTGCTAAGATAATTAAAAAATGGTTGCTGCAGTACATGGACAAGGAATTGCCAGAAACTGAAGCCAAATTCAGAAGAGGGCATGGGATGAAAAATATCACTGCTGGTGTCAGATGGATCTTGGCTGAAAGTTGAGAATACTAGAAAGACATTGACAGTGTTTTATTGACTATGCAAAAGGCATTCAACTGTATGGATCACATAACAAATTGTGGATAAAATTTGGAAAACAGCTACCTGGTCAACTGACTGGAAGAGATCTCTATCTGTACCCATTTCAAAGCAAGGTGATCCAACAGAACGTGGAAATTATCAAACAAGATCATTAATGTCACACACAAGTAAAATCTTGCTGAAGATAATTCAAAAATGGTTGCAGCAATATATTGACAAGGAATTGTCAGAAATGCAAGCTGGATTCAGAAGGTGTGAAATGAGGGATATCATTGCTGATGTCAGATGGATCTTGGCTGAAAGCAAAGAATACCAGAAAGATGTTTACTTGTATTTTATTGACTATGCAAAAGCATTTGACTGTGTGGGTTACAACAAATTATGGATTACGCTGAAAAGAAAGGGAATTCCAGAACATTTAATTGTGCTCATGAAGAACCTTTACATAGCCCAGGAGGCTGTCATTTGAACAGAAGAGGATACCACATGGTTTAAAACCAGGAAGGGTGTGCATCAAGGTTGCAGCCTTTCACCATATTTATTCAATCATATTTTCACCATGCTTATTCAATAATCTGGGAAGCAGGACTATATGAAGAATGGGGAATCAAGAGTGGAGGAAGACTCATTAACAACCTGCAATATGCACATGACACAACCTTGTTTCCTGAAAGTGAAGAGGACCTGAAGCACTTAATGATAAAGATTAAAGGCTACAGTCTGCATTATGGATTTTACCTCAACATAAAGAAATGAAAATCCTCACAACTGGGCCAATAAACATCACAAAAAATGGAGAAAAGACTGAAGTTGTCGAAGAATTCATATTACCTGGATCTACAATAATACTCATGGAAGCAGCTGTCAAGAAATCAGACATCGTATTACACGGGGTAAATCTACTGCAAATGTGTTAAAAGAGCAAAGATGTCACGTTAGGTAGGCCTAACCTAGGGTTTCTTCAATCACCTCATATGCGTCTGCAAGCTAGTTAAATAAGGAAGACCAAAGAAGAGCTTATGCTTTTGTGTTTTGGTGTTGGCTAAAAATACTGAAAGTACAATGGACTGCCAGAAGAACGAACAAATCTGTCCTGGAAGAAGTGCAGCCAGAATGCTCCTTGGAAAAAAGAATGGCCAGAGCTCGTCTCACCTAGTTTGGTCATTGTTCTGGTCCCCTAGTACCGCTCTAACAGAAATACCACAAATGGGATGCCTGATCAAACAAGAGTTTATTCTCTTACTGTTTGGAAGGCTAGAAGTCCAAGTTCAAAATGCCACGCTCTAGGGGCTGGGTGAAAGCCCCTCGACTTTGGGCATCAGCTCTGCCTCCTGCTCCTGGCCTCCTGAAGCTAGAGGCTTCTCTTCACTCAGACAGCTGCTGGCTGCTGAGACTGACAAGCCCAACGTTGACAAATAAAATGACACAGTCCCGATGCTACCCAACCACATGGCAGGCCATTGATTCAAGTCCACAGAAAGTCCAAGGATCGGAAGAGCATGGCAGACTGCTGAACAATGACTTGGATATATGCAGGGTTCAATCGTGCCAAAAGCTAGAGATCATTTTCAAAGCTGTTTCTTACTTCTGGGAAGCAGACCACATACCCAAAGCAGCTACTCAGCTGCTCCAATAGATTCTACCACTGAGTTAATTACCATTCCCATGAAGGGGAATACTACATCCAGCTACCTAGTCACTCAATGAGGCTCAGCCAAGCTGACTGCAGTGTAGTAAATTACTTTGTGTGGTTTTTCTACCCATAAGTCTTTGTGAACTCCAAGGTGGGATTTGCTATGAGCAACGAGGAGCTCCTAATTGCTGAAGGTGTCCACCTGGAGTATTTCTGTTGGGAGTGGCACAAAACAATGTTCTGGGAGATGCCCACTCTCTCTCAGGTGCTTAGAGTTCTGATGCTATAATTGGCT